ACGTCGAGTACGACTACATCATCACCGTTCTTTTAAACGCTTCCGCTCGCGATCTACAAAGGTATGTAGATGCATCTAATAACTCGTTGCTAGATGAACTCCTAGATGATCTTGGTGAAACGAGTAGGAAATTTTTTGTTTTCTGCAACGTTCCCCTACAGCAACCCCGCCGACTGGGCCGGCCTCCTCGGTCCCCGTCTCGCCCAGGACGTCGGGGCAGTCATCACCAGGCCTGGCCTCGCCCGCCCCTGCCTCGCCCAGGGTGTCTGGGCCCGTCTCACCAGGGCCGGCCTCGCCTGCTCTCGCCTCGCCAAGGCCGTCTGGGCCGGTGTCACCGGAGCTGGCCTTGCCCACTCTCGGTTCGCCCATGGCCTCTGAGCCCCTGTCGTCGGGCCAGTCTTCGCCATGCAGCCCGGAGTCGTCTGTCCCGAGCTCGCCTGAGGTGATTCCTGCATCTCCAGCGACCGTCACGTCTCCGTCACCTTCGCCTCCGCCGGCTCCTGCTGCTGCTCTACGTCCACATACGCGCAGTCGGAGTGGCATTTTTCAGCCTAAGCAACGTCACGATGGCACAGTTGCTTGGTTAGCGGCGTGCATGTCTGCTGCTCTCGCAGATCCATCCTCTGAGCCACGCACGTATCAAGCTGCTATGCGCATTCCTCATTGGAGAGAGGCCATGGAGCAGGAGTATCAAGCGCTTCTTCGCAATCAGACATGGACTCTTGTTCCTCCACAATCACGGGTAAATGTCATTGATTCCAAATGGGTTTTCAAAGTGAAGAGGCATTCTGATGGGTCCATTGAGCGCTATAAGGCTCGTCTGGTTGCTCGTGGTTTTCGACAGCGTTTTGGACTTGACTATGAAGACACCTTCAGTCCAGTGGTCAAGCCTACTACCATCAGACTTCTTCTCTCTCTGGCTGTTACTCGAGGTTGGTTTCTTCGTCAGCTTGATGTTCAAAATGCTTTTCTTCATGGTGTCTTGGCGGAGGAGGTTTACATGCGCCAGCCTCCGGGTTTCTTTGATCCGGATCACCCTAATCATCTCTGTCGTCTGTCCAAGGCAATTTATGGTCTGAAGCAGGCTCCTCGTGCTTGGCATGCTCGTCTTGCAATGGCTCTTCGTGCTCATGGTTTTGCATCATCAACTGCTGACTCCTCATTGTTTCTTCTTCAAAGGCCTGAGGTTACTATGTACTTGTTGGTCTATGTAGATGATATCATTTTGGTCAGCTCCTCTCAGTCGGCTGCTACTGCGCTTGTTCGCTCACTTGGTGCTGATTTTGCGGTCAAGGACCTTGGGAAGCTTCATTACTTTCTTGGTGTGGAGGTTACTTCTCGTGCTGCTGGCCTTGTTATGACGCAGAAGAAGTACTCTCTGGATTTGTTGCAGCGAGCTGGGATGCTTAAGTGCAAACGACGACTACACCCATGTCTACCACTGATAAGCTCAATGCTGTTGATGGTGTGCTTCTTTCTTCTTCTGATGCGACAGAGTACAGGAGTATTGTTGGTGGGCTTCAGTACTTGACGATCACGCGACCAGACATTTCCTATGCTGTTAACCGAGTCTGCCAGTATCTGCAGTCACCCCGTGACACTCATTGGTCTGCTGTTAAGCGGATTTTGCGCTATATTCGTTTCACGGTGGCTCATGGTTTGCATATTCGGCCGTCTGACTCTGGTTGTCTTTCAGCATATTCTGATGCAGACTGGGCTGGCAATCCGGATGACAGGCGATCCACGGGGGGTTATGCTGTCTTCTTTGGCTCTAACCTGATTGCCTGGAGTGCTCGGAAACAGGCTACTGTCTCGCGTAGCAGTACTGAGGCTGAGTATAAGGCTGTGGCCAATGCCACGTCAGAGATCATCTGGGTACAGTCCTTGCTTCAGGAGTTAAGTATACCCCAATCACAGCCTCCTGTTCTTTGGTGTGATAACATCGGTGCTACATACCTTTCTGCAAATCCGGTATTCCATGCCCGAACGAAACACATTGAAGTTGACTATCACTTTGTGCGTGAACGTGTCTCTCAGAAGCAACTACAGATCAAGTTTATTTCTTCCAAGGATCAACTTGCTGACATCTTCACCAAGCCATTGCCTTTGCCACAGTTTGAGACTTGCAGGCGCAATCTTACCCTTCTAGATTCATTAGAAAGTGGCTAAGATTGAGGGAGGGTGTTAGACTGTATTTACATGTGTATATTGTAACGTTGTATACCACCTCATTATATATATATGTGATAGGCCACCCCTAGAGGGTTGTGCCGGTTCCCCCCAAAGCCTATTGTCTTACACTGCACAACTACACCATGCCAAGTCAGAATTTCGATTTTGATTTTACAGGAGAGAACGTCTGCGATTTGAATGAAGTACATATTATCTGCGCATGCATGGCGTCATAACTTGAGAATTTTTCCGGTGTTCATCTCTGCCTGTACATAATTTTAGCGTTTATTTTTAACTGCATCGGTGCACACCAAGATGGAGGACGAATTGCTCCAAAAGTTTCTGACAACGATATCACATTTTAACCTGTTGGTTTTCCTCCCCTTAATAGGAAGAAACAAGGCAAGAGATTGTCTAGGTAGTTAAGGAGATATTCCACCCTTGGAGGCATCTCTTGTTGTTTTCAGATTGCTTTCATCGGTGTTTTTCGTTAGCAAGAAGGCGGACATTAAAAAGACAGTTTTGACCAATTGAACTAGAATTATTGTTGCTTCCACGTCAAATTGCCCATGTAATTTATACCTGCAGTTTCAGTGTTGTAGTTGACGCGTGATAAATTATTGTCAAATTGTAAATATGTCATTGCAGTACAAAACTGGCATGCTTGATGGGTTTTCAGCAGCCGCCGTAGTAGTAATAATCAAAGGAGGACTTACTGTATTCTAGCTTTCCTGTCACGCAATAATCTTGACGACAGAATGATGCCTATAGTCTATTCAACTTAACCAAAAGGGTAATATGTTTAATGCCATACCTATCCCGATTACCACAACAGTATTAGGCTTTCCCTCTGAAGCAACCCATTGCAGGCAAAGATCTGTGGTAAATTCAACTACCCAAGAAAATAGGATGCCTGAGTGGTTGTATCAAGTAAGTTATGTCAGTTCTTTCTTTATATACCTGAGTAGCTAGCATGAATGGAGTGCGAAGTTTGTGTGCTCGGGCACCATTGTGCCCTTTTTTGGGAAAAATAATAATTCAAAAACCATATTTAAAAGTTAAAAAAATTGAAAACAATTCTGTGGAAACTTGTATGTATTCACCACTGATCCATGAAATTTTGTTTTGAAAAAATGTAATTTGTAAGTTGTACAACAATAACAAAATTCCGGCCCCATTTGAAAATACATATTTGTCTTATTTTTGTACGCCACGTGTGAAAGCAAACTGTTATGAATTTTTGCATATATGTAGTATATACATGTGTGTGTGTTTACAAAAAGTTTTTAAAAATTTTACGCTATAAAAAATGATTTTTTAAAAGGGGCACCAAGGTGCCCGTGCGCCATTTGCAATTAGCGCCGTGCATGTCTTAAGATAGGACATGACCTGAACTACCAAATGTAGTATAAGTTGAGATTTTATTTTGCTGCAGTGGATTCAGACGTGAGAGTGTCAGGTCACACATAGTCTGACCCAGTCCAGTCCTCCTTGGTGCAACTATAAAACATGATGACTGCTCCATCCATCCACGTTTTCATCCATCCATTCAGCAGATCAACAGGCTCGCTCGATATTGTTGCTGTACACCTCCGAGTGTGTGCGTGTGTGTGTCCATGCATGCCAGGCCCAGGGTGGTGTATGGAGCAATAGATAAAAGAGTAAGTCCAGTCAAACATGGGCAGAACCGGCACTGTGGGTGGTAAAAACTGCCGAGAAACTCACATTGCAGTGATTGCTCACTGCACGGTTTCTTCGTCAGTTCAGGTATCAGTTTGGTTTTAGCATTGACCGTGTGGGTTGGGTTGGTTGCAGTTGCAGTTGCAGAGGCCATAATTAAGACAGGATTGTCGCCGGTGATGAGGCGAGCAGGCAGGCAGTGTGCAGGTAGCAGCAATTACAGAAAAGCGAGCGAGCGAGTGACGAAGCAACTGGTAACGGAGTCAGAAGAGAAGAAGCAACGAGATGCTGTTGCAACAGCAGTTTCGTTGGCTTGCAAAGGCGTGCGTGGTGAGGATGCATGAGGCGAGGTCCTCCTCCTCCGCCGAGGCACCATCCATCCGTCCCCGCCATGCTCACGCGCAACAGTCCAAGGGAATCCCCCGAGAGGCCGAGACCATGCCCGCCCGCCCGCCTGGCCCCGACCCGCCCCGCCCCGCCCCGTCCCGCCCCGTGAGAGAGAGAGCGAGAGAGGAAAATGACTCGTCGTTCTTGTTGATGAATGCAACAAGAAAGAAAGAAAGAAAGAAAGGCTCGCCGCTGCGTTCACATACTCGTCGTACGCACCGATCACGCCGGCCCGGCCGGTCCGCTCCTAGTCATAGTCTTACTCCTAGTGCACCGGCTTAGTAAACTGAGTGAACCTTTAATTTGTTTCTCTCTCGCCGTCGCCGGCGGCTGGGTGGGCACCGACAATGGAATGGAATGGACAACAACGGACATATCTAATGCTCGTCGCTGCAGGGGGCAATTTTTACTAGTTATTTTCTTGCTTCTTCGATCGGCACAAACAAATGGAATAGAGACAAGAGGACATGAAACTAAGTTCGGGTTGCCACCATTACATTACATGCGACTTGTTTTAATCCCATCTGAATAAGTACTGTAATCAGCGGCAAAACTGAGGAGAGTGAAACCAGAGAGGTCACATTCATCGCCATAAATAAAACAACTTAACTCCTCATCCTCCTCATCTTCTCCTAGTCTGCTTCTTCTAGACTCTAACCTTGCTTAACTAGCTAGGAAGGATTGGCCGCCTCCCTTAGGATGATGATGATGATGATGATATCGGCCTCCACCTGTACACCGCACCGCCCCGCCCCGCCCGGTCATGTCGAGCCCACGCCCAGGAAGTCGAAGAAGGGCAGGCTGAGCTTGTCGCCATCCTCCTCCTCGTGCTGCTGCTGCTGCCTGCGCTGCTGTTGCCGCGCCGACGAGGACGACGGGGCGGAGAAGGCGGAGCGCGCGCTGGGTGAGAACGCCTGGGTCACGGCGTGAGCTAGCGGAGCCATGTCGTAGCCTGCACCAAAGACCACCATGTCAGTCGGAGTCGGATCAAAACGCTGGCCATGTCCATGTGGAGGACTGACGACTGACGACGCAACAAAACAACAAGAGCTTGGGGCTTGGCGCTTGGGACTTGAGCCTTGAGGGCAAGCATGCAGCGAGGGAGGCACGTACCCTGGTGGTGGTAGAAGCAGGGCACGGCGGCGCTGCCGGAGCTGAGGGAGAGGTCGGTGGTGCAGGTGGACGCCGACTCGTCGGACTCGCCGCCGCTGTAGGCGCGGCTGGCCGTGGCCGTGGCCGTAGCGGCCTTGCTGTACACCCCGGTAGCTATGGCCACCCCCATGGCGAACGGCTGGAGCGGCATGGGAATGGGAGATGCCCCGTGGTGCTGGTACAGGTGCTGGTGCTGGTGCTGGTGCTGGAGGACGACGGCCGGGGCCGGGTGGTGCGGCGCCGGGGCGATGGAGGAGGAGGAAGAGGAGGCGGGCTTGCTGCGGCGGCGGAAGGCGCCGGACTGCTCCCGCTGCCTGCGGGCCATGAGGACGTGCCAGTGGTTCTTGACGGCGTTGTCGGTGCGGCCGGGGAAGAGGCGGGCGATGAGGGCCCACTTGTTGCCGTAGGCGCGGTGCGCCGCCATCAGCCGGTCCTCCTCCTCCTCCGTGAAGGCCCGGCGGTTGATCCGCGGGTCCAGCTGGTTGAACCACCGCAGGCGGCAGCTTTTCCCTGTTGGCCGACATCATCACAAAATAAACCAGGAATCAGGGCGCAGAACCCACGATCACCATTCACCACTGCGTTAACCGCAACACACTCCAAATTACTAGTAAAATGCATGTATTTTACTACAAGAAAGAAAGAAAGAAACAAGTCCAAGAAGTTATCCACACGAAAACAAATAAACGGAAGATGGTCGCAGTAAAAGAAACCAAAGCAGTAGACTAGTTCCGTTTGCGCATTCAATGCATGCATCTTCGAATCCGAAATGAAACAGCATTGCATCGGAGGAACTCCACATAGTATTAGGTTGTTTTATACCTGATCTGCCGTCGAGCTTCTCGGCGATGAGGTTCCAGTTCTGGGGCCCGTACTGGCCGACGAGTTCCTTGAGCCGGGCGTCCTCGGCGGGCCTCCAGTGCCCCCTGGAGCAGAGCTTCCCCTGCCCGCCGCCGCCGTCCTCCGCGTCGTCCACGTCCGCGGCCGCCTCCTCCTGCGGGTACGGCGCCGGAGGCGGAGTCGGAGGGTGGCTGAAGAAGCCGTTCATCTCACGAGCCATTCTTGGTCTCTCTCTCTCTCTGTCAAGGTTCAAGGAGGAGGATTGGAGGGGAGGATGCCTTAAAAGGCGAGGAGCGGGAGGGTGAGTGGTAACGGAAGAAGAGAGGAGAGCGAAAGGGACAGCTTCTTGTTTGCTGTTGATGCCGCTGCGAGGGGAGTCCCTCTCTAATATAGGAGGCGGGAGGGGGAGGAGGAGGCCGCCTCCTCTCTTCTCTTGTTCTTGCTTCGCCACCCGCAACTAAATGCCAAGCAAGAAACCAATTAATGCCTCCTAACTTTAACTTTATATCTCTCGGCTAAGCTAATACTAATTGGTTTTTCTTTTCTTTTCTTTTTCGGTTGTGTAACCTCGGTTTGGTTGGCTTTGGGGGGCTTCGCTTACTTTGAGAC